CTTTCCCTAATCCCTATTTTTTAATAACCATGTCTTCAGGAGCTGTCCAGAAAAAACTGTTCCTTTATCTCCCAATAACTACCATATATTTGACAGAGACAGTCAGGTAAAGTTATTCATGTTCTATTATTGCCATCACAGTAGTTCATATTCCAATAATGCCATCATGATTCCAGCCCAAGTACTGTAAAGCTCTTAAGCACTAGTGAGTCTTTGCTAGAACCACAAAAAGGTCAACAGGGAACCTCAAAACATTTTAAATATTTTGGATGATTTTACTAAAAAAAAAAGCTTATGTTCGAATGTTTTATGTAGTATTTAGCAAGTAGATTCAACAATAATTATATCTTATTTACTCAAATCTAAGATGACCCTGAATTTAGGACAACTCCCCAGTACTTAGTTTCTCCTATATGGAAAAATTATAAATCTGTTATAATGCAGGTATAGAATCTAATTATTGGAGGGTCGTCTTGAATTCAGGGAAAGCAGTGGCTGGGGGTGTTGTCTGGCTGGGGGAGGGGAGTCAGGGAGCCCCCTTGGTTTCACCCCCTGCACTTTTTCTCCCTGAAGTCCTCCTGCCTCCCCAGCCACCTGCACCCCCAACCTCTACCTCCCTACAATCACTGTCCCAGCTCCCCATAACCTCTGCCTCTTCCCCCAACTCTCCACAATTTTTGCTTCTCCCGCCCACACTCCGCAGTCTCTGCCTCTCCCTCCACTGCTCCCCAGTCTATGTCTCCTTCCCCCAAATCCTAGTCGCTGCTTCTTTCCCCTCCACTACACCCTTTTGCTTACTATCAGATGCTGCTCAGAGATTATTTCCTCCCAGGAGCACAGCACATGAAAGTGTAGCCCTGGCTGAGCCACACAGCAACATCAGTGCTGCTGATTGGCTGGGTAGGAGACTGAATTCAATGTGCTTTATGCTGAGCTGTGCCTGGCCCTAAGGGAAGGGAAGGGGGTGAAGCAGGGGGTGCAGAAGATGTAGATGGCAAGCAGATGTGGGGAGGGCAGGAGGCTGCTGTGGTTCTGATTCTGCCCCTGACCCAGCCTAAGGGCCAGGGTAACAGTCACAGCAGCCACCTACCTTCCCCTCCCTTTTGTATATGAATCTAAGACAAGGGGATCCCCACCCCCCATGCTGATCAAGGGAGTAAAAAATGCGCCTTAGATTTGAATACATAATTTTTAAATGGCTAGCAAATACTTGTTCAAATTTTCAATGAATGTGCCTGAATTATGATCTTCTCTCTCTCAAGGTTTGCTTTCCACCTGAACATTAAAACAACAGAGTTTCCAGTATGAAATCTGAAATAGCAAGTCACAATAACTGACATTACTTGGACAGTCATGCACATGACTATTCAAATAAAATGAATGGAACGCTTGGAAACAATGGGTCGGGCAAAACTTGTTTTTTAAAAAAATTCAACAATACAAATGGAAATTGTAAGATGCTTGTGGATAGCCCATTAGCAGAAAATGTAGCTAAATTTTTTGGATAAAATAACAATTGTGAATTATTCTCTTAGTTCTAGGTTCAATTATGGGCAGCAGCAATCACAGATAAGTCATTAACTGATGGTCTATATATAAAATTCCTTAATTCATTCCAGTCATATATAATGCTGCAGCATATGTGGGAGGTAAATTTAGACTAAAAACATGTACATTGTTTAATCCCGTGCAGACTTTCAGGTAGAAGTTCAGGTATGCAAGTCAAATATATATCTGTGTTTTTAAATAAAGCATTAGGAACAAAGACTCTACTTTTTAAATTAAACAATCTCACTGCTGGCATTCTTGAAACCAAGAGGGGTTATATTTATAATACCTTCAGTCTCTTCAAGGTACCACTGGTTTTTGTATGCCAACTTTCGAACAAAAGCCAGTGAGAAGTCAAAATACTTCTAGCTGTTGCGTTGTAGGTTCTGGATGCAAGACATAAAACCCACTATCACTAAGAGTTTGCACTTGGCCCATAAAAGACTAGACATAGCAATGCCTCACATTGCTGTGAAATAGGCAAGGTAGGAACTAATTACTTAAAGTTAGATGTGGAAGCTGACCTTCAAAATACAACATCAAAGCAGGAAGAAATCCCCGGACAATAATTCAATACATATTTTTTAAGATTAATCAGATAGAAAATAAAATAAGCATTACTTATCTACAGTTGGCTGGCTTTTGAAGTTTTAGGAACTTCATGATGTTTTATATTTGGATAAATGTTTTCCAAGTATCACATACTTTGAATGACTCAGCTTTCTCTTATACGTCCTAATATTAGTTTTCCATAATTCTTTTTTCCATTTGTGATTATACAACAATTGTATTATAACTGCAACTGTATATAACTACAAACCTCTTATGTAATTGCAAATAATAAGGAACCTACCTTGCAATTTCTTTAATTACCACACCCCTTGCCCTCCCCTGGGCAGAGGTGTACACACACATGCACGCACACTGCAGTGGGAAACAACTATTTTTGCTTTGACCTCAAAGGCAGTACTTCCCCACCAACAGGAATTTCCTTTAGTATACTAAGACAAAGCATAGCTAGAATGTAGAAGAGAAAGCTTTTTTTTTTTCTTTAATTACCATATATGGCAAAGATTTTTGACAAAAAAGAGCTTTTGGGTAAATAGTAGAAAAATATAAACATCTGATGGACACAATATGGACTAGTTTATTTTCCTTTTTATGTATTTGAAGGTTAGTTCAAGAACAACTAGGTTTCATCTTGCTAGAAAAGGCTCTAAATCAGGCATCTGTAAATGTAGATAGGCAAGATATTGAAAAATTCTGTTAACTAAATATCTTTTATTGTGAATTTCCTTTCTCTTTTTCCAGCAGAACAACTTAATGAACCTAATGTCTATCTTCTCATCACTTTTTTTCTATGGATAGTTTTAAATCAAAATTAGTGGAGGGGAAGGAATGTTTGTCAAATATTTTTAGTTACCATAGTTGAAAAGGTCAGATATTATAATTGATAATACTTTCCCCACTATTTAAATGTTCGTTGTTATGGTGACAGTTCCAGGAGGGAACATTAACACAGATCATTTGGAAGCTTTAATGTTTACAACACAATTATTGTTAATACCTTGTAAGAAAAGGTGACAGTTAATATTCCTCCTTGTTAAATATGTATAACATCTCAGTTTTCTTTCATTTCTGTTCGTCCTATTTGTACCCATGAGAGCTTAAGGTTTGAATACAAGTACAGACACACGTAAACTATAAGTAATTTGAACTATACACCAAAAAAATCATCATAATAGATGCACTTATATAATATATCCTTAAAAATCACTTAATGTTTTTTACCCATGGTATGCTCTTTGGAATACATTTATTGTTCTTCTGTGAGGCACCCAGCTTCAGCCAAAATATTCTACTCATACCCAAAGCTAGTGTGTGTAAAATTAGAAGAGGCCATAAAATTATTTCAGTGCTTAAATCATGCTTTTGCAGACACTATGTGGCTCAGACAACAATTTGAGTTTTTTAAAGCTATATGGGGCATGTAGCATAGTAACTAGCCCAGAGCCCTTAAATTAGAAAGCATCTCAAGCTAGCCAAAACTTTGCTCATATCTATTACTAACACATACGATTACTTACATATTCTTCATAGGCCTCATGTGCTGGAGGAGGGGGTGGTCTGTAGCCTGGCACAGCTGGAGCTCCCCTTGCTCGAGGGGTAGGAACACCCCTGGCTACAGGAGGCACTGGTAGTGCTCCACGTGTCACTGGTGTCCCTCTAGGTGCTTGGGCACCTCGTCCAGGTGGAGGAGGAGGAATTGCACCTCCACGTCCCCTAAGAGAAACGTGGAAGTGAAATTAATTCATTGATACACACTTGAGTTAAAGACAAAAACCTGTCTGAAGGAGCTTATTCTCTTACTACTGTTGTAAACATCATATAATTCCAGGTTTTTAGCAGCAGCTGATAATTACCTAATCAGAAACTCTTGGAACATGTCTGACAATGGCTTAGAAGAGGGTGACAGTATTTCTACAAATACAAATACTTTGCATATATGTCTAGCATCCCTCTTGTACCTGATTCCTTTCCTGCATCCACCAGTGCAAATGAGAGTAATTTCCTTTAATTTAGTGGAGTAACACTGATGCTCAGCTAACATGAGGGGAGAATAAAAACCTCCACCTCTCAGTTGCAAAGCTCTTTGTAGTAGTGGGTTATTGTTATGTTCATTTTGCTGCTGGGGAATTCAGGAGACAGAAATTTTGGCCAAGCCCTGGAAGAAAATGAAATGATATAAAATAGAGTAAGACATTTTCCCTCTTATCAGTTTCCTTATTTTGCAGTTGCAGAAGGTAGGGGGAGAGCAGGGTTTTATTTCTAGCCTTTTTCCAGGTACATTATGCACAGAGAGATAAAAGAATGGAAGTAGGGTTGAACCCCCAACTTTGCATCCACTGAGTTATGCTAGCTAGCAAGAAGGAAGCAGAGGAATCTGTTAGTCAAAGAAGCAGTTGATTACTAGCTCTCAGGGTACTTCTCTGAGCATGGGAGGCATTACTCATATTTGAGCCTTCTTTGGCAGAGCATAGCCACTGAAAAACTCTCTTTTGTAGGATATAAATTTGTTAAAGGAAGTCACAGGGCAAATCCTTAGGTGGTGCACTTCAGCAGAGATTCACTGAAGTCAATAGAGCAGCACTAATTTAATCTAGTTGAGGACCTACTATATTACATTTCAAATATGCTGCTTTTGTATTGTTAAGAATATTTTTAATTCATTTGTTTTTAATAGTGTTTTAGGCTGAAAATATTCTTGCACTCTTTGATTTTGCCTTTTTTTTGCTTATCAGACATTGATTTATTTCTTTTTTGTATTTTGTAAAGTAAAAGCCAATATGGTTCTGCTCTGTTTACCTCCGTGCTTGTGATTAAACAGAATCAATTATGACTGTAAGCCCTGTGAGGAGGGTCCAGCAGTTAGATTATTGTTCTTTTACTGTGACTGGAACACGAGCGTTTTTGTAGGTCCTACAAAAAACTTTTTTTTTTTAAATATTCCTTGACAGAATAGTGATTCTTAAAATCTATATTTAAAGTAAGACAATATCTTTCATTAGGCTACATATGGATTTCAAAACAAGGAAAAGGACAGATTTTAATCTTAAAACCTTTTTTTTTAATTCTTTAAAGAAGTGAAACCTCATGTCCTCTACTCTGCCTTTGCCAAAACAATAGTACAACACCAGAACTACTAAAATGGTGATGCTACATTAAAATAACACAGCACAGGCAAGAAATAACAGAGGAGGTCAGGAAGAGATCTCTTCTAATGGTGTAGTGCCCAATCTGCTAGCATCTAGAGACTAACAAACGCTGAGGAGTCAATATTATGATTTAGTATTTTACAGCACACAAGAGTGCATTAGTCTTACAATACAGTAATATAAATGTGATCCCTTTCCTAGACAACTGAAGAGATAGCAACAAGATGTGATAGGGACATTAGGGCCAAAAAGAGAATTGTCAACACAGGTCAGATTGAAGACTAAGCCACAGCACAATAAAGGAAAGGATTTTATGTATGTATGTATGTATGTATATATTTTAATTAAAGACTGATTTCTTGGGAGTTGATGAACTCTGTAATTCTAGTGGTCCACCTGGGTAAAACAATTGTCTTGTTTCTCAGAGGCATCACAGCGGGATGTGTTCTAAGGAAGGAGGTAAGTTAAGATGGTATGTATAATTACAGTGACAATATCACAAAGAAAGAAGTAATGCATGAAGAAAAAAGTTCTACGAGCCAATTGGCAGACTACAAAGGTAATTTGATGTCAACATAAAGTTGACCTGATAGTTCAACTTGAACAGATAACATAGAGAACAAATAAAATGCTTTTTGTCAAATAATATTATCCAGTATGGAATTCGGTTTGACTGTGGCATAAATGCATTTCTTTTATCAAGCCACATTTTAACATTGATAATGGTGTCGAACCTCCACTACAAATGAAGTGCTCCTACTGAAAAGTGGGAAGCAGGGCAGAATTCTATTTCACTTAAACAATATTTACACGGCTATGCAAATGCTGTTCTTGGTACTTAGACACAGTTTGCAAAACTATTCCATGTGTAACATGGATGCATAAGAATTCATACAGCATACCAAATGCATATACCTGAGTTTGAGTCCCAAAACTGTAGCCCAGCAAAGATGAGGAGGGTCCTTCCATGTTCTAGCTCAATGGCCTAGAGGTTAGGGCACTTACCCAAGAAGCAGGAGACTGAGTTTATATCCCACCTGACCCAGAAGGAGTTTGAATCTGTTGGTGTTTATAGACATGCTCTGGAAGGCCGAGGGAGGGGGTCATTAATTAGCGGAGCTCTGAGAGCTGCATTAATTAAAAGTGCCTGGAGCACCACGTGTATCAGTGTCCCAGCGCTGAAAAATGGTGGCAGGGTGCTTTGAACTAAAGCTTGTCAAACAGGATGCTGATACACATGATGTTGATACACATGGTAATTTCCATGCTCCTGCAGACTCAATTAATTGAGTCTGCTCTGATGTGCTGGAATTACAGCTTATCAGAGCAGCCTCCCTGTACATATATAGAAGCCCTGTAATTTCCCAACTTCACTGAAACCACCAGGCCACAGGTCAGGCCTTATTCAGACCCTGGATAAGGGTCTGCCTTGTATTGAAGTTAAGCCTCTGTAACTTACATTTTATAGTGCTTGGATAAAATGGATTGAGCAAAGTGGAGAAATTTCTGCTCCATTGGGAACAAATATCTAGGCTAGCACCCATGTCCTCTCCCTCTCAGAACAAGAGCCACCTGAACCACATATCCTCTAACTGCCCGCTTCCTTTTGGTCCCACATACCCCCCTCTCTTTGTTGCCCAGAGGTGAATTTCAAGAGGAAGACTGGAGAAGGAACTAGATAACGCCTAATCTTGGCATGGTGGTTACAGAACTGTGCTGGAAAGTAAGAGAGATATGAGTTCAAACCATCTCTGGATGAAGGGGGCCTAAAACTTGAATTGCCTACTTCTTGGATGAGTGCCCTAATCGCTAGGCTGTTGGGCTAAAGCATGGGAGGGGGCTCCTCCTCTGGCATCCAACACCCATGAGTCAATTATTTACTTAACTGTCTCATAAATCATGTTTTTAAAGGTCATGGTGTTTCACCATGGGCTGTGCTTCTTTAGCATGAATAAAAGTACAAAATAACATACCTTGAAGAAGCTGTAGGTGCTACACGGATTCCTCTTCCTCGAATTCCCCGTCCACGTGCCGAATCTTCAGAACCATTCAAATATGACAGTTCTCTCAATTGTTCCTGACGAATTTCATCATTGTAGTCCTGAAAGGCAGATCGTGGAACCAACTAAGGCTTCAGTGTCAAGATTGACATTGTTGTCAAACCACTCCTACTTGGTCAAATGCACCTTTGCTCATGCATGTCATTTGTCTCTCTGCTGGAAAGCAAATGCTTGTGTTCAAGTGGTAAGAGGTATGTGAACAGATAAACCCAAGTGAAAATACATGAAATTGTGCGTGGATTTAAAGTATTCATAAAGTTACTTACACGCAAATAATAGTTATGGTTTTCAAATGTGTCACTTGGGAATTATTTTGTCTCGAGGCAAACATGGAGCAAAAGGGTGTTTATATCTTATCTATGCCAAACACAGTCTATTTGACACCATCTCCTGGCACAGGGAATGCTAGCAATTTAAACAGGGTAATCTTGATTGGATAATGTAATTATGATATATGCAAGTGGATATACTGCATTAAGTTGGGCTGTCACTTCCATACATATCTACAAGATTTTTTCACCCTATTGAATATGGACTTCATCATAGGTGATGCATGGTGGGGCACAGGGGGCACGTGCCATCCCAGATTTCTGTACTAACTGCAGGGCACAGGGCTGCAGCCCAGCTTGAGCCAGGGCCGAGCAGCAGTAGGCACGGTGGTGCAGAGTTGTGCCCCACTCCTCCCTCCACTGTCAATATGAATTGTTTATGGATTTTATGATACTCTAAATACCAGCTGATCAAAAAGGGTAAAATGAGCTATCTCCAGAGCTCTGAAATGTTATGAGTAAGCGGTAAACAGGTGTCTCTGTTAAGTGACAAAAGAAAGGTTCTTTTAATTCTGATCTTAGAGTATCAACTTCAAGCAGGACATCAAATGAATTCCATATTTTACTGATAAAACATTATATAGTACACCTATCACAGCCATTTTATATTATAGGGGAAATACATTACTCTACAGTATTTAGTTCCTTAATCTTAGTCAGCATCCCCTATCACTAGCCCCTTGCTTAAGTAGTTAGCTCTTCTATCTGCTGGTAATGGCAATAAGAGTCTAATGCAGTTGCTGGCTTTCTGACAGTAGAACTGTGGGACAGTTAATTACTGTTCCATAACAGACAAGATTATTGAATTTCAGCTCTTCATTTTTTCCATCCTTCAAGAAACAACTAATCTGAAGAATAATCATACTGACTGACATAGAAGGATCTGCAGTGGAAAATGCAGTGGTAACTACCAGCATTCAGATGCTTGAATGACCAGGACATATTAAAGTGACACTTCTTTTTGCTAAATTAAAAAGAAAGAAAAACCTCATTGTTGCTTTATACACAATTATTTCTCCCTTTACTGGATGAGTTCCACTAGCCAGCATGTGAAAGGAATGGACTAAGGAGGACTTGGCTTATTCTATGTGCTTCACCACATTCTTTCAAAATATCTTTCAGGGAAGAAGACAGTCAGCTGATAACCATATTCTTGAGAACTTGGATCCTAGGTTGTCTAAAGGCATACAGAGGATTTTTACTTCTTTATATAGAAGTGCAGTGGTTATAATCTAGTTTTAAATTTTTACTGAAATGGGTTATAATAAAAACTACTAATAGAATTTCAGGTTAGAAAGAGAAAACATAATAACGTTAAAATAATCGCCACACTGGTAGCATAAACTTAATCCACAATAAACTACCCTATACAAAATAATGCCTGGCATGTCATACCAAGCCCAAAATACATTACAACAATACATGCTCTGATTCCATTGGCTGGGATGCAACCTTATGGATCTGGAACAGGGATTACTACAGTTACAATACAATCCCAAAACTATTGTTACTTAAATCTACAGAGATGCACTCAGACCTTATTCCGACATGATACAATTTCAACCCCAGGACAAGAGAAACAGAATCCTTCTGCTTGTCACCTATGGTCCCCAGCTTGAACACTTTTGGACACATCATTCAAGACCTCTTATCCTCCTAGAAAATGGCAACCATCTGAAGGTAGCAATGGGGGCAAACCTGTCCTGGCTCACAGACAGTCCTTCAACCTCAAACTGTGTCACTTTAGCAACAGGCTGCCTAACTCCCATTCTCACCAAGGCACCAGGCCTTGCAATAGACCCAGATGCCACCTGTACCCCATCATCAACACAAACCATATCACTGGACCAAATAACACATATTTGTTACCTATGATTTATTTTATCTGTAACCCTACCAACATCATATATGCAATCATCTGCTTACAGTGGCCCTCTGTTATCTACGCTGGCCTGATGGAATGATCCCTACATGCAAGAATGAATAAGTACTGATATGACATCAGTACTGAAAGGACATAAAAGCCTGTGGCAGAATACTTTAACCTCTTTGGATATTCCATCACTGACCTCAGTGTAGCTGTTCTTAGAAAAACTTCGAAAACTAACTTGAACTGAAAATTGCAGAACAAGAATTTATCCACAGACCGGATTGTGTTAAGTATAGTTTAAACAGGAACTATGGATTATCCCATTACCTGAATTAGCTTTTATAACCCAAATGTCTCTATGGGTTTATTGCTGTTTCCTTTTTTCCATATTGCTTTCCTTCCCATTTCACGTCCTTCCCTTCCTTTTCTTCCTCCCTTTTGCATTCTAATCACACTCTCCATTTTATACATGGCTCTCTGCATGTCCTTTCACAGCATCTGCTGAAGTAAGTTTAAGTTTATGAAAACTTATGCTATACATCTCTGACTTAGTTAGTCTATGGGCGCATCTACATGTGCCTCTTTTAAGCAGGCTTAGCCAGAAATCACCATATATAAGACGCATGAAGGGCACATGTCTATACATGTAAAATGGTGATTTAAAGCTATGTGAGCCTAAATTGGATACCTGCAAATACCTAAGTCACATTAGTTCACATGTGGACATGCTAATGCGCATTAGCAGTGTGTGCGTCAATGCATACACACTGTGTTAAGGCACATTAGTGCATCTGCATGTGCACTAATGAGACTTAGCTATTCATGCCCAAATGTGGCTTAACGTGCATTAATCACCTAATGCGCCTTGATCACATTATTGTGCCTTAACCAAAGGCACATTAAATTTAGGCACGTGTAAAAACACATGTAGACATGCCCTATAAGGTGCATGTCTACCCTGACCCCTGCCTGATTTCAGACTAACACAGCTAACTATTTCTCTCTTCCTTGATTATGCTTTTAGTAGTGTTAAGGAAAGATATGCTCATGGATCAGCCTGTCATGTAAAGCATGGTAGGACAACTACAAGTTGCACTAAATAAGTAAGATTTATAGACACAACCAAAGAAGCACCATGTACTGCATCTACTGTTTGTTTCACATTCATAGTATGAACAATTAATTCCAGGACAACAACCTGGACAACTGAGTTTCTAGAATAATGCTGAGGGATCCCAAGCACAAATATTAATTCATGTTATATAAGAGATAAGGAGGTTTGGGAAGGAAAAATGTAAACATGTAATGAAGAACAGAGGCTGGAGTATTTTGGGCTACTGCCTAAATATCTGTTCCTCAAGGCAGGTCTATTATAAATCGCTACTGCCTAAATATCTGTTCCTCAAGGCAGGGCTATTTTAAATCTTTGCTTAGAAGAAAAATTCCTTACGCAAATTAGTGTTATTTTGCAGCTATTCCTCATTTACATCTGACCACCACTGAATATTTGTATTTGAATTTCCCCCATTAAGGAGAACCAGGTAAAGGACAGTTGTGACACCTAACATATGTAAAAACTTATATCATTTTGTGGCTCAATACCGTTAACTGATCAATATGTTATTTATATTGCTTGCCCAGACACAATAAGGATGGAACATACTGTTACAATGGCAATAGACATACTTATATGAATATATGTGTATAGCAACAATTTAGGGAAGGATATCCTGAAAGAGAGAGATTTCATTTTAAATATTATAAAGTCTACACAACTCACTTATCACACATGCCCTTTACAAAGCATAATAAAATTGTAATCTTCTAAACCTGAAGTCTGGAATTTTCAATGGCAATGCTTACCTTCAACTCCTTCATTAAACAGGAATGTAACACTGAATTAATCTTTCATAACTACTACATGAGTCTAGCAAGAGATGGAGTATCCTTCTGAATATTTAATTGTAGCTGAGTTCAGAGCCCAGCATTTGAGGCAAAATTATGCTGCTGATGCTTCAGATATACCCAATCCCAAGAGTTAACAGAAGATGTTGCAAGACATACCTGTACTGAACAAAGAATAATGAGGTAGTTACCTACTCTATATTGAGTATTTCAAAAAAGGTTGCCCTTATTAAAATAGACTCATATGTAATTGTTCTTTATGATCTGATTTTCATTAATTAGGAAACTGAGTCTTTGATAATATTTCACTTATAGCTTTTGCTTTCAAATCCATGTTGTTTATGTTTTTAAAACCCTGTTTTATAGAAATGGATTTTCTGGCTTACAGTGGTGCTTTATGCTTTAAGTTAGAAATGATAGCCTACATGTGCAAATAAAAAGGCCTAAAGGTAAACCCTCTGAATCCAGGCTTAAGCTCTTAGACAGTGGCCTTGACTTTCATAAGTGCTTAGTATTTACAGTTTCCAATACAGTCAACAGTGCCCAGTATTTCTTTAAATCAAGCCCCTCATTTACATGCCTATATATGACTTAAGCTGCCCATTTTCATCAGAAAGTTTTGAAATATTTGACCACTGACTTTAGCATTCACTTACAGAGAGCATAACAAAGTTCGCTATTATCACAATCATTTCTTACTTAATACCACCTCACAGCTAACATTAGGTGAACTAATTTGAGTTAAATAGGAACAAATTCAAGCTCATACCAAAAACACCAACCCAAATTTTTTTGTACTTTCTTTTTTTTGTTTTTTTTTAAAAAGATAATTTTACTACCAGAGTAAGTGTTGCAGCAGTTGTCTGAGATCAGGGCTGGCTTGGACTTTTAAGATTTATTCACACCGCCGCTGAACCAAGCAATTGAGCACCACAGT